TATATATATATATATATATACATGCGAACTAATCTCTGAGTGAAGCTATGAATTATCTTCCGTAAATGCTACTCAGATAAGGCATCTAGCAACATCAGTCTGTCCAACAGCTGTTTTCTACTGATAAAAAAATGTATTCTCTGAGGAAATGTCTTTTAGCTCCACAATTTCCTGTGTGGAAGACTCGAAACACCAGTCTGGATTTTGGCATTGTGCGCTACTAAGGGAGGGGGCAGTGTTGTTGTTGTTAGGGGTCAGACAGCTTGGGCTTTTAATGGGAAAGTGTAATTTCATTAACTTTCTTGACAGAATGCAACAACAACAACCCCGTGAGAGCTCAACTGAAAAGGGGGTTACTTTTTTCCAACCTTCTACGGCAGGGGTCCGCAACCGCCGGGCCGTAGACCGGTAACGGTCCGCGGGTCATTTGGTGCTGGGCCGCACAGAAAGAATAAATAACTTACATTCCTTTCGTTTTATTCATTTGGGAGTCTGAGACATGTTTTATTTAGAAAAATTACCGGATTCTCTGTTATATCAGTCTACAGTATGTCACTCGATGCAGGTGAATACATACTTCTCAGTCACGTGACAGGTTGCCGCATAAAAAAAACAAATGTCTTTGAAAAGTTGTTTCGGGAAGGGGAAAAGGACCAGCCAGGAGACAGAAGAGGAGCCTACGACTTTCAAGAAAGAGAAGGCTACATTTAATAGACAGTATGAGGAGTCCTATTTCAAATACGACTTTATCTTAACGGGAGATTCCCATGCACCAAGCCTTCTCTGAATAATAAGCGGCGATGGTGAGTCCTATTTTTCATGCGCTTTTTATTTGCGGCGTGTCATATTTTGAAGGCACTTTAAACGTTACCATAGCGACCAGAGAATGTTGCGGCCAGATAGGACGTTCCTCATGTCATGATTCGTGTTTATTATTATGTTTCGAAAATACCACACTTTTCATGCAGGTCATATCATATTATATTGTTTTATCTATCCAGCCTTAAAGGCCGGTCCCTGAAAATATTGTCTGACATGAAACAGGTCCGTGGGGCAAAAAAGGTTGGGGACCTGTTCTACGGGGTGCGACTGAGTGACCATTGTAACATTGTGTATGGGACCTTAGGAGGCGCCCAAAAAAAAGATTAATTCATCAGAACAAAAATGAGAAATGGCAACATTTCACTCACGTCTCAAGTCATTTTTATTTATATAACACTAACACTACACACATCGGGTGGCACAGTAGTCGACTGGTTAGCACATCAACCTCACAGCGCAGAGGTACAGGGTTTGATTCCGGCTCCGGTCTTTCTCTGTGGAGTTTGCATGTTCTCCCCGTGCCTGCGTGGATTTTCTCTGGGTGCTCCAGTTTCCTCCCACATTCTAAAAACATACATGGCAGGTTAACAGAACACTCTAAATCAGGGGTCCCCAACCTTTTTTGCCCCACGGACCGGTTTATGTCAGACAATATTTTCAGGGACCGACATTTAAGGTGTGGCGGAAATAATACAACAAAATAATATGGCATGAGCTGGATGAAAACTGTGGTGTTTTCGAAATATAATAATAAACACAAGGAGCGTCTAATCTGGCCGCAACACTCTGATCGCAATGGTAATGTTTAATGCCTTCAAAATACAATACAACGCAAATTCAAAGTGCATGAAAATGACAACTCACCACAGCCCCGAGCTTGATTTTCTGCAACCAGACGGTCCCATCTCGGCGTAATAGGAGACAATGACACCTCAAATGTGTGTTTTATGTCCAGTCTACTTCGTAATTTTGTTTTAGTCGCCGTTGCTACAGAAAACCCCCGCCTCACACTGGTAGGATGTCGGAAATAGCAACAGTGCTATTGTGGCCATCTCAGAGTATTCAGCCATAACTTTAATCCAGTTGTCTCGAAAGTACTTTTAAGGCCGCCGTCATTTGCGCTCTCCAGCAGTTTTATTACTCATTTTGCGAGCTCTGGCGTTTTGTTTTTAGCGTAAGAAAAAAAAACTGCTCTAAATTGTCCCTAGGTGTGATTGTGAGTGTGAATGGTTGTTCGTCTGTGTGTGCCCTGCGATTGGCTGGCAACCAGTTCAGGGTGTACCCCGCCCACTGCCCGAAGACGGCTGGGATATGCTCCAGCATGCCCGCGAGCCTTGCGAGGATAAGCAGCCTTGAAAATGGATGGATGGATATACACACACACCTGCATCATATAACAAAGTGCTTTAAATGCATAAACATCGAGCATAAATGGTGAGACAATTAAATGTATTTGTACATAATAAAAAAGTAACAAGTAAAAACAATAAAAACAAATAAGACACAAAAATAAGGACTCAATTCGTCTCCTGTGTTGAACATCAAGGAAAAAAAACGATCCAATTTTTAAAATGGACAGCAATGGCACTCATCTAAGAATAGGAGTTAGTGTATGTGCTCTCTCTTACGTGATCCAGTTAAATTGAGTGGCAGCATTTTGAACTGACTGGAGACATTTGACTGAGGACTGGCTGACTCCAAAGTAATGCAGATTACAGGAACCTCGCTAGGATGTGATGAAGGTTTGGATTACTGTGGCAAAGCGCTGCTGTGTAAGGAAATGCTTCACCTTTGTCGGCTGCCCGAGGTGAGAAAAGCTGGACTTAACAACTGCACCAACTTGATGATCCAATTTAAAATCACTGTCCAATTTCAAGCCCATGTTAGAGACTTTTGGGTTTATAAGCGACCCATGTCAAAGGGTTCACTCCAACCTTGATCATCTTTAGGTTTTGATTGCACCTTGCACTGATTCAAAAGTAACCGTGCCTCAATTTTCACAGTTGTTACTTTCTGACACCTGTGCTCATCATTGGATGTCTATCTGCCATCGCAGCTCCGGAGTATTTTATCAATATACCATGTGTGACCTCAGTTATGGTGGAGCCAGCTCATGTTAGTTCATGGTTTGTGTCACAGTGGTTATTTTCCATTGCACTTCTAATCAGTGATATCTTGTGGACATCATGCTGCTGCCCAATAGATTTGGTGGTGCGTGCAAATAAATCCTCTTCTTCAATTCAGCACAAAAAGGGTCATTATACTGTATATATAATCGTCAAGTCCACACTCATGTCGCGTCTGAGTGGCTAAATTATTAGTGGTTAACTGTCAAGAGATATCAGGGGAAGCAAGTGCAGCACGTTTGAGAGAAACCGGGATACTATCTCTGCTGCTTGCTCCTTTCAGATGTTATTAAAATGAACAAGGCCAGACTGATCGTGTTCACCATTCCACGTCATAATGAGCTACCAAAAGACAGAGGTGGCAAAAGTGGCAAAAGTAATCATTCTGTACTCAAGTAAAAATACAGAGACTTGTTTTTAAAAAATCCTACGTCTATTCAAGCTCTTTACCTCAATAAAAACAAAAGTAATCAATTGATCAAGTTATCAAACCATGGATGACTTAACCTCTGTCTGTTGATGTTTTATTCACATTGTCATCATTGGCGGAGGTTGAAAAGAGTAATGAACCCATCTGACAAAAGTGTAGTAAATACACTTCGAGTGGCTGGTAACCATTCAGGGTGTAACCCACCTACTGCCCAAAGACAGCTGGGCTAGGCTCCAGCATTCATCATTAGCAAAACTAAAGAGTCAGAAAAAATTATATTCAAGTACTGATACCAGAAAAATCTTCTCCAGGACAGTTACAAGTTATTTGTACTTCACATCACACAAAATGTCCAGCAGGTATGTAAGTAAGTATACAACATGGTGTTCCAAAGAGTTCTGTTTTGGGGCCCCTGCTGTTTTCATGGCATTCTCCGCCCCCAGGTTCCATCTTGAGAAAAAATGGGATTTCCTTTCACTGCTATGCAGATGACAGTCAGATCAATGTCTCGCTGAGCAAAAAGGATGATTCCTCTTCAAGGACACTTTTGTCCTGTCTGGGGGAAGTCAAGGCCTGGATGGCACCAAACTTCTTGAATATCAATGAAAAGAAAAACGAAATTATAATGTTCGGTCCCAATGGCAATTTTTGTAACACCCTGTTGACATGGGCCCACTGGCTCCTTATCTATGCCCACCAGTCTCAAAGTTGGGTTTCATTTTGATTAGCTGGCAAATTGGTGCTGTTTTCATCTTGTTTTGTCTTTTTTTCATCTTAGGCAAGGGAAAAGACTCTCCTTTTGCAATAGCACTTAGAAACAGTAATCCCTTCACCTGTTACATCTCGTTTAGATGACTGTAATGCACTTTACTTTGGAGTCAGCCAATCCTCCATTTCGTGTCTTCAGTTGGTCCAAAATGATGCTGCTAAGGCTTTGACTCAGCCATGTGACTGCATTGTTTTAGTGTAATGGTGTTAACTGTTTTTATGGTAATAATTTATTGTTTTAACTGTCTTTGTTTTTGTATGTCTGATTTCACTCCATGTGCAGCACTTTGTATGCAGGGATTGTTGTTTTTAAAATGATCTACAATTTAAAGTTGAGTTGAGTTTAGGAAGCTGTCAACTACAGTAACTGCTTCCTTCACTTCCTTTTCGTGCTGCAGATTCACAAGCGTCTGGATCCCAGCTGTTGCGGGTTCAAACCCAGGCAGCAGGACCGGTGCCATGAACCCAGCCGCCATTTTGAATGTACGCAGCAGGATGGCGTCCGACTGGCAAATATGGTGCGGAGGCATCACGACCCGCGCCACCTCGTACTCACCGTCAATAAGGGCTACTTTGACCGCAACGAGGACAACCTGGACTTCAGGCTGCTGGAGGGCATCAAGGAGTAAGTGGTTTGGATTGGTATGTTGTGCTAACACTTAGCTTTTTTTTAATTTAAAAATAGTTTTTGTTTGAGGGAAATGGGATAACATGTTTATATCCAATGACCCGCACTGCATCAGCCTCGCCTAATTTCCAGCCATCTTTGGCTCATAGATGTCTAATCCCATGAAAACAGTTATTTTTGTCGAAATAGATTAAGTGTTTTTTTTTTTTTAATGCCATTGTGGATTCACAGTTGCTAAAGTCGCTACAAAAACAGTTGATGAAGAACAGTCAATGACGTATTTCCTTTCCTGCTGCAAATGTGTCAGACCATTTTGTGGATGTTCTTGGAACTTTCCTGATTAACTGTACACACACACACTTTTGTTATATGTTTTCATATCAAACATATTCCTCGACTTCAAAATAATATTTGGCTTAAGAAAAAGACAATGTTACACAATACTGAAATGTATTGTTTGTTTCAGTCAGTGGAGGGTACATCATACACATGCGAGCTTATGATCAGAATGTTGCCTCAGTTTGAAGGAAGGTCAGAATTCAGCAATATTTACTTGATTGATTAATTGGCAAAACCGATTATTAATTAATCGGCTATATTCTATTATTTTGCTATGGAAAAAGATACGTGCTAATTAGCAAGATCCTCCCCAACCACCGGGGATTTTCTATTGAAAACTGCCAACTTGATAATGCTGATCTACTCCCAATGCCTATCTCTGTTCAGAAATACTCTTTTTATCCCAAAGGAGTGTCTGCACGTTCACATTCACGAATTACCATTAATTAGCGGTGAATCCAATGCGGTTTTCACAAACATCAAAAAAATAAAAAATAAAAAATACATAATGTTGCAGCTCCAAAGCAAACAGAGCTGTCGTGGTGGTTTTCAGAACATTCACTTTATTAATTAGTTTCACACTGAAGCGAATACAGACACGTCGATGTCGGACTACGTGCCTTCTCAACTGCCGTTCTACTTGAGAGGCGTTCAGGGCCACCTCTGAAAAAACGTAAATTAATGATCACTTGACTGACGCCCAGAAAAGTGAAAACAATGCAACAAAACAGAAAATCCATTGAATAACATATACAGTCTCCTACAATAAGACAATTATTTGTGTTGCATGCTAAGCAATTTTACATCATCTTGACAATTCAGAGTCAACTTTTTTAATCTAAAAGATATAAAAAGGTTTATGGTTACCAACAGATGCCACAAGATGGCAACAAAGCACTACTTATGTCAAAATGAAGCTCATCCACTCACTTCAATATAGTTCCTTGTCACAACGACTTTTTTCGGTGAATAGTGAAGGATCCCTTCCCAAAAAGTCATCAGTTTTTGATTGGTCCCGTGGCCCATTGCTTTTGTCCAGGTTGCCCGATGGTGCTGTGTCAGTGCTGAGGAGCGGTCGACTGCGACAGAAGCTGCTGCAGTCGCTCTTCCTGGACCAGACGTACTGGGAGAGTCGAGGCGGCCGGCCCGGCATCGACAAGCTTATCGACGTCGTCGAGCAGAGAGCTCATGTTCTCCTTACATACGCCAACGCTCATGGCATCCGGGCCATCGACATGAATGAGTGATGGCGTGGGAACGACGGCAACTTAGATAATGATGTAACTTTGGGCAAGATGGCACCTTGCATTATTTACAATGCCACAAAACGTGGACTGTGTTTTTAATCATTGACTCGTTCATTCCTTTCTCCCTGACTTATTCTTGTTGTACTGCGAGTGGTGACCAACAGTAGCGGGCCAATCTATGTTCATTATATATAAAACATATATGATGTCTCAGTGTGTTCAGGCAGTGAAATGCATGTCTAAGTGAAGCGTACTCTGCTGTTGTGTGCTCTGGGAGTCCGAATGGGCTTTGCGGTTTATTTTCTTGTGTCTGTGACAGTCATTCATGCGGTTGTTATTTTAACCTCTTTGCACCCGCATTGGCGAATCACCGGGGTTCCAGCTCCAGCGTGTTTGTCTTGCAAAACACACCATCTCGTTCCCATACCGATGCCTCTATCTATAACATTAGGCTTCTGAACGTCAATGTGGATGCACACTTGCTCAAATATGAAACAGCTCTCAGTCAAGTGGAAATTTGTTGTCAACTTGTTATAATTTATACATATTATTTCAGCATCAGAATCATTTTTGTTGGCCAAGTATGTAAAACACACAAGGAATTTGTCTGCGGCAGAATGAGCTACCCTTACATTGCAATAACAAGCAACCTACGATAAACAAAGACATGGCATTCAGGATAGAAAGACGTTCCCTAATGTAACTTCAACGTTTTAAATAGTTAAATTAAGGACTATTCATAGAAATATTAGAAGTAGCTCTCCTTACTATTTTTTTTAATAATTTACACAGTATTTCAAACACTCCATTCCATGGTTTGATGGGGTTGTTTTTTTTTTTTTTTTTTTTCTGCTCACATTATCCCTATCGCACACAGAGACAAATGATTTGTCATGATTTGGAAGTTGGGTCTTGTCAAACTCTCATTGGCGCTGCATCGTTATAGCTGATGGTGGTCTCAGATTGAAAGGATTGTGTTGGCAACCGTGGTGAATGGGGTTAACTGAGGATATTTTTGTCAGCACTGAGCGGACGACCAGTCACGACCAGCCAAAGCCTTTCAGACTGAGCTTGTTAGCAATGTGACCGAAGGGCAAGGGTGGGCACATTTTTGTCATCACATTAGAATTTTGTGTATACTTTAATTAATATTATATAATATTATCTCCCATCATAACAAGGTGCACCATTGCCCACAAATCAATCCAACTGAATCCTCAGTGACAGATATATCAGAAGGCTTTGCTACAGGTACAAAAGAAAACAAAATTCTTGAAGCTGGAAAAGTTGCTTCCTCGCCGCTTCAGAATTTTCCTTTTGAAACTTCTCGGGAATGTTGAGACATATTGTAGGATGTGACTTTGTGGGGGTGAGCTGATGTCTGAAGTTTGACATTAATTTGTTTCCGCCCCGACATGCTTGCTCTATTTGTTTTTTTCTGTTTGACCCACTTCTCTTTATCCCGCTCGCTGCGTTATTGTTTGTCAAACCCAACTTGGCACGCTTCGACAAGCACAGTGAAATATTTGGTTCGCTATTGAACCTTTAAATCACCTCCGTTTGAGCAAAGGAAGCTAAAATAACAGTGGATTTTGCAATATGCCATCTCCACGGATCATGTCACAGTCATGCACTGGCTGAGCCTCGAGGTTCTTCCGAGAATGCATCCGTATTACCTTTGTTCACAGTTCACAATCAAAGATCTTATTTTTTATGACAAGATGATAGAAACATATTGAATATTTGAATAGGGTGATTATACGCACTCTGCTTTTTTTTTTCCAAAGTCACTTGTTTGTCCCATCTCTTGTTGCCAGGCAGAATTCACGGGGCAGTATCATTTGAGCCCCCAAGCCTGTTATCATCAATGTAAACAGGTAGTATTTCGGACAAAGTGGTTTGAGATTCTGATTCTTTTTCCTGGTCTTCAGACTGGCTTACTCAGCCTCTTTTGTTGCTTGGCAGAATTTGTAGGGCAATATCGTTTGTGCCCCCAGCTCCATTAAAATTCAATTGTCACAATGCAGTCACTCTACTTAAGTTGTCTCCAACTGTTTTTCCTGGTTGTGTAACTTCTTTGAACACCTTCTTGTTGCCAGGCGAAATTTGTGGTGCAATATCATTTGTGCCACCAAGCTCGATAGTTCATTCAGTGCTATCAATGCTATGTTCACACTGCAGTTCAATTCCAAAAATAAATTGTCACCATGCAGTCACACTGGAGATTTTTTTCTGGTCATTTAACTTCTTTGTTTTCTCATTTGTTGTTAGGCAGAATTTGTGGGGCACCAACATTTTGACCCCAAGTCCACTTGTTTTTTCACTCCAATCTATTGTTGCCTGGCAGAATCTGTGGGGCAACATCATCTATGTCCCAAAACAATGCCAAAGAGCAGTCGCACTCAGTAAGTCATATTCTTTATCAAAGTCACATCACTTGTTTACACAGCCTCTTGTTTGTTGCTCTGCAGAATTTGTGGGGCAACATAATTTGTGCCCCCATTTCTGTTTAAAATATAATTTGCAAAGGAAGGTACAGATGACGACTGACGGAACCCCTTCTACGATGGAACTTTCCTGTACGACTGAGAGCCTCCACAAGCATCCTTTTGCTGTGAAATTGCAATCTCTCTCTCTCTCTCTCTCTCTCTCTCTCTCTCTCTCTCTCTCTCTCTCTCTTTTTCTGCAGCTTTACTTTATCTTCAAAGTGCATTCTGTGCAGCCTCGGCCTTGATGAATGAGAGGATCACGCAATTGCGCTCACCTCACAGCACATGGGTGGCCACTCGCTACACATTCATGTATCATACAATGACTCCCCCGTAAAGAAAAAAAAAGCAAATAAATTGACTCTCTGCTCTTCTTTTTTACTTGACACACCATGTATGCTCAAGCCTTTTTCCTCTACGGATTTTACCGAATGACGGCATCTTCATCGCAATCCTGTAAAGCCTCATGGTTCATGTTTTTTATTGGATGGGCTAGTCCAGGGGTCGGCAACCCAAAATGTTGAAAGAGCCATATAGGACAAAAAAACAAAAAACAAATATGTCTGGAGCCGCAAAAAAAATAAAAGCCTTCTATAAAACTTACAATGAAGATAAACCCAAGCTGTATGTATGTAGGAGACTGGACTGTCTCAGAATTGTTTATATTATTCTTTCCTTTGTTGTGTTTTCACAAACGACCCCATAGAATTTATTTTGTAATTTCCTCGCTTGATTTTTTTGTTTTGGTGCATTATTTTCACTTTTCTTAGTGTCAGTGAAGTGGTCATTAATTTCCGTTTTTCTGAGGCTATCTTTGAACGCCTCTCGTGTTTGTCGAGACTGTGAAAAGCATAAATAAAGTGTACGTTTTAAAAAACCAACACCACAACCCTCCTTTTTCAGAGCTGCAACATGTATCTATATCTATTTGAGCTATATTAGCCTAATATCAAAATCCTTTTCCATTTTCAAACATTTTTTATAAAGCTCCAGGGAGCCACTAGATGTCGATAAAGAGCCGCATGCGGCTCTGGAGCTACGTGTTGCCGACCCCCGGGCTTGTCAAACACATTGTGCAGGTGTATTGTAGGTTACTTTCATCAATAAACAGTGTACACGAGGCCTTACAAGGTTCACTTGTTTGATTTGCTGGAAAAATGTGTGAGCCCATGCCCCTACACCCCTGGGGCGACCTGTATGTTTTTGGGTTGCAGAACGTATTTTTCCAGTAAATGTCACCCGGAAAATTAATAACTCAAGGGAGCAGAATGGCATGATGGCTGTGGCTGAGCATGATGACGTCATAACAAGCCTTGGTTCTTCAGTCTGTATGTGTCAGGAAAAACAATGTCTATGTCTGATGAAAAATACCCCTGTGGTCACATAAGGAAAAGAAGTGAATGAATTGTTGGCATGGCCACGAGGCATGATTGAAATTCTCCAAGTTACTCAAGGGCGATCGGGGTTGTGCTGGGTCCTGTTGTCAGACTATTTTCGAGTCACTTTAATTCATTACATGTCAGGGGATAGTTGACTCGAGTAATTCCCGCCTGGTGAGTCATTTTAATGGTTGACCCGCAGAGCTTCCGTTCTATTTATAAGATGCATCTTAGTGAAAAAAAACAAAACAAAACACAAATTTGATTATGTCTGTTTGAAGATTAATGGAAACTATTTCGTGCTGCAGGGAGCTACTGACATAATCGTATAAGATATAAAATATCATTATCCAATAAAATGTTTGGTTACAAGAAAAAAATATTTTTTAAAACACGAAAAAAATATTTTTTTAAAATGTGACTCTTACGAGAACATTATTTATTTATTTAATATTCATTTATTATATATAATGGGGTAGTTAACCATCAACGCATCAATCAATTAAAGTGTAGTTATAGTTGTGTTTTCACCCTCAGGTTAGTGTTATTTTTTTTTTCAAGAATGCAATTTGTTGGGATGAAACTCTTAATCTATCAAGAAAAAAAAAGTTTTTTTTTTTTCAAGAATGTCCAAGAATCCTCCCTCTGCCTCTCAAAAACTAATTTTAACAATGTTATTCATATGTCTTTTTGTTTGTTTTTTTTTTCCGGAAAAAATGTTGCATGTGTTTATTCATTGTACTTTCATAGTCATTTTAAGAGTACCGGTAGTCGAAATTAAGAATACAGTAGTTGACAAGCCATCATCCACATAATGTACCTTTTAAATATATTACATATTTCTTTCATCTACATATTGCTTCCATAGAGGTGTGATATTAACGCAATAGGTCACAGTCCAATAAAAATTCATTTAGTTACAGAAGGTGGTTCTACCGGTGTCCTCCCGCATTCCAAAAACATGCAGGGTAGTTTGATTTAAACCTCTAAATTGTCCCGAAGTGTGATTGTGAGTGTGAATGGCTGTTCATTGGTGTGCTCTGCGATTGGCTGGCAACCAGTTCAGGGTGTACGCTGCCTACTGTCGGAAGACAGCTGGGGTAGGCTCCAGAACCAATTTTCCCCTCAAGTCTTCCTCTTTGGAAGCTGCTTTTGAATCGTGATGGAATATTTGAGAAGCATGGTTACAAGATGTTGTCCTTCCACTCCCTAAACATGTCGGAAAATGGTGGCTCATGTGTGGAGAGGGGAACATGACGGGAGGACTATTCCAGTGAATGTGAACCGGAATCCAAAAACAGGAAATGAGGGATTCCCGGAAGGCCTTGGGGTGGGGCTCGTTTCCGAGTCGACTGACTGCTTACAGTTGTGAGCTGTGGAGCTGCATTGCATCATATGGAGGTTGTTCATAATGAAATAATTGGCTAACTCCAGATTGTAAAAATAAAATATACTTGGTAAATAAACAATTTTACCTCCAAATTTAATGTTGTCATTTTTTGGACTTTTTTTTTAATTTCATAATTAACGGATTTTTATTTGCTTAACCGTATACGTCATTTAAAAATTGCAATTATATATTTTAAAAATCAACTCCCTTCATGAATATGGTAAAAATGTATTTTTCCCCCATGTATAAAACAATTTTGAATTGTTTAAATATCATTTATCTAAGTTAAGAATTGGTTGGGAGATATACCTGTCAAATGTTTATTGTATTACATGATCGGTTGTTTAATTATGATGACATATTAATGAAATGAATGCATATTATCATGAGAATGATCTTTAACTCTTAAAAAGAACTATACAGTAAATTACAGACGCATTACAACTTTTCTGTTAACCTCGTGTACGTATGAGGTAAAATGTATTAAAACGATGTGTTGTTTTATTTTATTGAAAAATT